ATGCTTCTAGTTTGTCTCCATTACATATGATGCTTACTGAAGGTTTTAGGTAATTGCTATATATTATTTTCAGGAAGACTCCATTTATTCCTCTGCTCTCTAGCATCTTTAATAGTAATGGGTGTTGTATTTTGTCAAAAGCTTTTTCTGAATCTATTGAGATGATCATATGGTTTCTGTTAGTTTTGTTGTTGATATGATCATTTATGTTGATAGTTTTCGTAATATAGATATATTAGGAATTTGATAAATTGAGAGTTTTCCTAATATAGAAATACAGAAAAAAATAGAAATATTTCCTGATATTTCCTAATATACATTCCTGGTATAAATCCTACCTGGTCATAGTGTATTATCTGTGTGATAAATTGCTATAATCTATTTGCACATACACATACACACACATGTATAATTTTTACATCTACATTTATCAGGGGAATTGGTCTATAATTTTCTTTCTCTGTTTTGACTCTTCCTGGTTTAGGTATCAGCACCATATTTGTATCATAAAAATAATTTGGTAAGACGTTTTCTTTGCATATTTTCCCAGATAGTCTATATAGTATTGGAATTAATTGTTCTTTAAATGTTTGATAGAATTCACTTGTAAATTCATCTGGCTCTGGAAATTTTTTCCTAGGGAGTTCACCAATGGCTTGTTCAATTTCTTTTCCTTTTTCCTTAGATGGGGTTATTTAAGTATTTTACTTCCTCTTCTGTTAACCTGGGCAATTTTTATTTTTGTAAATATGTATCCCTTTCACTAAGATTGTCAACTTTATTGGTATACAGTTGGGCAAAATAGTTCCTAATTATTGTTTTAATTTCCTCTTCCTTGGTGGTGGATTCATCTTTTTCATATTTGATACTGGTAATTTGGTTTTCTTCTTTCTTTTTTTAAGTTAAATTAACAAAAGGTTTATCTATTTTATTGTTTTTTTTTCATAAAACCACCTCTTAATTTTATTTATTATTTCAATAATTTTCTTAATTTCAATTTTTTAAATTTCTCTTTTGGTTGTTGGTAGTTCTAATTTGGTATTTAATTGAGGATTTTTAATTTGTTGTTTTTCTAGTTTTTTTTCAGTTATATGTCCAATTCATTGAACTCCTATTTCTCTATTTTATTCATGTAATCATTTAGAGATATAAAATTTCCCTTACAAACTGCTTTTGCTGCATCCCATAAGTTTGGGTATGTTGTCTCATTATTGACATTCTCTTGAATGAAGTTATTGATTATTTCTATGATTTGTTGTTTGACCCAATCACTTTTTTAGGATTAGGTTATTTAGTTTCCAACTAATTTTTAGTCTCTCTTTCCATGGCCCTTCATTACATATAATTCTTTTTTTATTGTATCATGATCTAAAAAGGATGCACTTAGTATTTCTGACTTTCTCCATTGGATTTTGAGGTTTTTATGTCCTAGTACATGGTTAGTTTTTGTGTATGTGCCATGTCCTGTCAGGTAAATAGTATAGTCCTTTCTATTCCCATTCAGTTTTCTCCAGAGTCCTTCCATACCTAACGTTTCTAAAATTCCATTCACTTCCTTAACTTCTTTCTTGTTTACTTTGTGGACAGATTTATCTAGTTCAGACAGGGGGAGGTTGAGGTCCCCTATTAGTATAGATTTGTTGTCTATTTCTTCCTATAACTCCCTGAACTTCTCCTCTAAGAATCTGGATGCTATTCCATTTGGTGCATATATATTTAGTAATGATATTACTTCATTGTCTATGGTGCCTTTTAGCAGGATGTAGTTTCCTCACTTTTCTCTTTTGATAAGATCCATTTTTGCTTTTGCTTTTTCTGAGATCAAGATTGCTACTTGTTTTTTTTTTATTTCAGCTGAAGCATAATATATTCTACTCCAGCCTTTTACCTTTACCCTGTGTGTGTGTCTCTCTGTTTCAAATGTGTTTCCTGTAAGCAGCACATTGTGAGAATGTGGTTTTTAATCCATTCTGCTATCTGCTGACTTCTTATGGGAGAGTTCATCCCATTCACATTCACAGTTATGATTATGCTCTGTGTCTTCTTTTCCCTCATCACTAGTGTTTTGCTTTTGACCAATGCCTCCCTTAGTTCTGCCTCCCATCTATTAGCTCCTTCCTTTTTCTCCCCTTTTACCCCTACTACTTCTTCACTCTCTTCTGTCCCCCCTCCCTTTTCTTTTCCATTTTCCCTCCTACTTCCTATAGGGCAAGTTAGATTTCTATATCTAACTGATTATGTTATTCCCTCCTTGAGCCAAATCTTATAAGAGTAAGGTTCAAACAATGCTCATCTACCTCCCTCCTTTCCCTCTACAATAATGGGTTTTTCTGCCTTTTCCAGTAATGAGGGGATAGAAAATTCCTCTGATATAACCCCATTACAGAAGATTACAACTCATTTTGATAAATGTTTGAAATGTAAAACCAGAAAAGTGATCTGCTGAGAGATTGGGAAGTAAAATCCAACAAATAACCTTAATTCAGAAATCTCCAGAATTGAAAATTAAAAATCTGACTGATTCAATATGTTTTCCATATTTTCTCATTAGTTTTAAATTTTCTTTATTTATTTATTCATTTATTAGACCAATAATTTTCAAATTGTCTCTCCTGGATCTATTTTCCAGGTCAGTTGTTTTATCAATGAGATGTTTTACATTTTCATCTATTTTTTCATTCTTTTGTTTCTGTTTGATTGCTTCTCACTCTTTCATAGAATCATTATCCTCCATTTGCCTAATTCTAATTTTTAGCAAATTGTTTTCTTCTATTAGATTTTGAATCATTTTGCATTTGGCCCATTTTACTTTTTAGGAAATTCTTCTCTTCAGTGAGTTTTTGTGCCTCCTTTTCCATTTGGTCAATTTTACTTTTTTAAGGAGCTATTCTCTTCAGTGTATTTTTTTCCCTTCCATTTGGCCAATTGAATTTTTTAAGGACTTGTTTTCTACAGTTTATTTTTGTCCTTCCTTTTCCAAGCTATTGACTCTCATTTGTATACCTCTCTTTTTTTTCCAATTTTTTTCTTCTACCTCTCTTATTTGACTTTTAAAATCCTTCTTGAGCTTTTCCAATGAGGCTTTTTGGGTCTCAAACCAATCCAAATTCTCTTTTGAGGTTCCATATGTGAGTTTGTTGACAAATTGTCATCTTCAGAATTTCTGCCTTGATCTTTACTGTGCCCATAATAAAAATCTATGGTATGTTTCTTTTTGCTCATGATGTTTGCTCATGTCCTGGTCTTTAAAAAAATGAACTCTCTTGTTGGGGAGCAGGGGACACTGACCCAAGCTTTTTATGCTGGGAGCCTGAAGTTTTGTCACTGACTTTGTGTGCTGGGGCCTCAACTGCTGGCAATTGGAGGCTGTAGGATTCTGGCAGCTTACTTTGTGTTGGGTTGGAATTGTCAATACTGGAACTCTAAGGGTAGGATTGGGTAGTCTCACCCCTAGAGGTTCCCTGCTCACCCAGACCTTTTTTTCCCTCCTTTTGCTTTCTTCAGCTCTTTTCAGATGTATGTTTTGCTGCTGAGGGATGTTTTTCCACCTGGGGCTTTCCCCTTTGGAGCTTCATTTCCCAGAGTTTTGCTGAGGCACTGGTAGACTTGGTTGCCATAGAATGTAAAGGCACTTGGTTTTCCAAGCTGGTTTCCACTTGTTCCCCTGACCATACTGAGACACTTGGGGGGGTCTTGGTGTTGATGCTTGACTGCTCTGCCACCTAGGGTTCAGGATCTTCCCTAGTATGCTGAGTTGAGACTTTTCATTAGCTTGCTGGTATGCCTCTCCTTGTGTACTGTTCCCCTTCCCTGTGGGCAAGTGAGGACTTTCCCATTAATCCCTCAAGCTACCTGGGCTACTGGACTGCTGCACCCCATCTTTCAGAGGTTTTATAAGGGATAGTTTGAGTGACTTACTTTTACTCTGCCATCTTGACTCCTGGAAGCCCATACCACCTCATTTTAGAAATAAGAAAACTGAAGCTCACAAACTGTGTCCAAGGTCACTCAGGAGGTGAAATTATATTTGCAAATCAGGCTTGTTTAATAAGGTCAATAATGAGAATCAGGCTAGGATATCAATTTTCAGTGAATACAGTGGTAAATCATAATGAAATAGACTGTTTATGCCTTAAGCTTTGTATTTACTCTGGTCCATAATTGTTTCAAATTTTTCTTTCTAACTTTAATACTGAAACCTCAAATTTAATATTCAGTTAGAAACTTTCTTCTTCATGAAAGTAGTCATCTTTCAGAATGGAAAAATATACTGTGCTGGAATCAAGAAGACTCATCTTTCTGAGTTCAAATCGGGCCACAGACACTTAATAGCTATATGACCCTTTGCAAATCACTTACGTCTGTTTGCTTCCATTGCCTCATTTATAAAATGAGCTGGAGAAGGAAAGGGCAAACCACTCCAGTATCTTTGCGAAGAAAAGCCCAAATGGGGTCATGAAGAGTTAGACACAAGTGAAATGACTGAACCACAACAACAAAGGCAACCTAATTATAATAATGTTCATACTTGAAATAGTTTCTGAAAATGGCAGGTGTATAAGAGGTGCCCGATCAGATCAGTTCAACACTAGCAAAATGAAATGGGATACAGAGGTATAATTATCCAAATTATTCAAAGAAATCATATATTTTTGCTTCTAATTTATCTATATATTACTAACTACAAAATCTTTTCATCTCAATAAAAAACTTACCACATTCCATTCATACCTCAGTTCATTTTTCCATTTCTTTTTTCTTATGAATAGGAATTTTTTTAATGTTTTAGATGATGAATGATGGTGATTATGGTAAATGCAATGGCTTTAGATGATTTAAAAGTCACCCTAAAGGATTTTGAGGTGAACTATCCTAACAGCTGATATATGGGTCCTCTCAAGGCAAGGCAGAAGAAACTTGAAATCTTAAGAAAGCAGGCATTATGTTGTTTTCTCTTATCAACTATAATCCTTAAATTAACATTTTTAATGTCATTTCAGACCCACCTTGCCAAATGGAGCTCAGCAATATTCAGAAGCAGCCAGTGGTAAAGAAGCTCCTAGGTGAGCAATAGATCATTCTTTGGACAACTTTATTATTTACATAAATAACCCCAGGGAAACAGCAACATAAAATCAATACTAATCCAAAAAAGACAGACCACATTAAATTTCTGCAACAAAATTTATGAAGTTTTTGAAAGCTATTAAATTTACTTTTATTACCTTGCTATTGAAAGATATTACATCTTTTTATTACCCTAATATAACACTCATTTTGAAATTTATTAAGTATAAAAGAACCTTAATGTTAAAGCTAAAACATCAACAAAAACTTTAATTCTAAGTCCATTCTTTGATTGTATTTTAAGAGATTATGGTTAAGGGATACCTAAATATTTTAGGTATTTAGATCCATTGTTTATTTTTGTAAATTAAAAAAGATAGTCTTAGTAATCTCTGGAATATGTACATATTTTTAGTGTTTCTCATCAACATATATCAATCCCTAAATTATTTTCAGTTATTTTTCCAATGTGTAACCAATATACTCAGTAACTTATCTGTAGTACCATAAATATATCTGGATACTTATGATATTTTCATTTTATTTTAAATATCTAAATTGTAATACTATATGTTTTTTGGTTGTGTCGATCAGTTCAATTAATTAAGAAATTAATATGTCTACTAGGAGTAAGGTATTGTGTTAGAAATCATATGTGCTTATATAAACAATATAATCTTTGCTCTCAAGAAGCTTATATTCTTTTTGCAATCATGTGACTTTTAAATGAGTTGTATTTTAATGTGTTTCCTCAGTAACATACAACCTATAGACTTTGATGAATATGCAGTCCTTAAGGTGAAAGACATTTGTGTCTTCCATATCTGTAATAGAAAACATTAAGAATTACAAGGCAAAGGATCATGATGGTAATGAAGTTAATGATGTCAATAAATAAAACAATTTATATGATGTTAATGTAACCATAAGGTCTTTTGGTATTTCATCACAAAGGAAATGGCTAGTGGTCTTAAAACAAAATTTCTCATGATCCCTCTCATTTTTGTCTGTTTTCAGGGGAAAAATAGTGGCATATTTGACCCATATGCTGTAACTGCCTCCTGATAGAGGTTTTCCTCTCAAATTGAGTCTATCTGTTTAATTCACCTCAAATGAGCAAATGTTCATTAGCCCAGCAAAAATGGAAAGAATTTTAGACTATTTAGATTTAACTGAAATATTAAAGTATCATGAAAGGGATATATATATATATATATATATACACACATATATATATGCTACTTTTACTAATATGTAGCTCCTTGTACTCTGTAGAGTCCACAAAACAGTGAAACAAACTCATTTAGAAGTCTTTATTGCTTCGAGTACTTATGTTTACAAAATTAAATCATCCTTTTTAGAATCAAAGCCAGCAATCCCAATGATTTTAATGACTCCATTTAAATAAAGCTATCAACATGTTAATTTACAAGTTTGCATGTATGGGCCATAAAATTCAGTTAATAGCACTTCCTAACCATCTACCATGTGCTAAGCACATAGCAATGAGGACACAAAAAGGGGCAAAAGACAATCCCTGCTGTCAAGGAGCTTACAAATGGGAATAAATTTCATATGTTCCAAGTATCAGGGTTAACTTTGGCCACCTCTTTATGAATCCACTATGAATTATGTTTCAACTTGATTCTACCTGTATCAATATATCATTTTGGTAAAAATAATTTTGGAAATATAACAGTTATTACTCCTGTGCCCTATTGAATGAATCAATTATGTAATTGAGTTAACTATCAGACAGTCAAAACAGTTAATCTAGTAATCTCTCAGTATCAAAAATAGTGCCAAAAATATTTGTTAAATGGATGAGTGGCTATATTACTGTGATAGAATGCCTTTAAAATTCCATTGAGCAAGATAGTACATAACACAGTGCCTCTTACATGTAATATAAACTTAATAAATGCTTTCTAATTGATTAAAGAACAGGTTCAGCATATCTGAGTTATTTGTGAAGTTTCATTATGTATTGTTATTCTTCAGCCCTTGCCCCAACCCTCAATTTGGACCTGTGCTTTCATCTCTGTGGGGAATTTCCTGCCTGGTTTGGAACTCTTCCTCACGTTCAGATTGTCAATCTGACTGTGATTTATAATCTTAAAGAGTTGTCTAAGCCATTGAGAGGTGAATGTATTTGTTCATTATCACAGAAATGATATTCTTAAATTAAGCAGATCTTAAATTCACTCTGAGATCATACCAAGCATATAGCTAATGTCAGCAGCACAATTAAAGGTCCAAGGTTGGGTTGAACATTGAATATTTGAAACATAAAAATCAAGGAACTTAGTTAGTCAATGATTCTAATTCATAATTCTTCCTTTTAAGAACTCTAAATTTAGTTGTTTTAAAGCTGAGGTGATGACATGTAGTTTAAACCTTCTAACATAACTTTCTCTATTATCTAAGCTGCTGTTTAATTTTTTTAATTGAGAATTATGTAAATTAAGGAAGCCATTAAACAGAATGAGCCACTTAAATTATGAATTTACAGTAGAAAACTCTCAGTGTAGAAATTGATTCTACTAGCATAGGTTTTAACCTATTACATTGAAAGAAGTTCTAGGAAGTTTGTGGAGGAATCTAGGTTAAGAGGTTTGCCTAGGGTGACACACCTAGTGAGTGTCACAGGTAGGATTTAAACCCAGATCTTTCTGATTCCAAGGCCCTGTTCTCTTATCCACTACTCCACATTCCTTTCAGAGGTGACAGTGGATAGAGTGCTGAACCTGGAGTCAGGAAGACCTCAATTCAAGTTCATCCTCTCACATTTACCAGCTATATGTTGCTAAGGAAGTCACTTAACCTTTGTTTGCCTCAGTTTTCTCAACTCTAAATGAGGATAATAATAGCATCTACCTATCAGGGTTGTTTTGAGGATAAAATGAGATAATATTTGTAAAGTTCTCTGCAAACCATAAAACACTATGTAAATGCTGTTTAGAATTGTTATTTCTGTCCTATGGGTAACATAACCACAACAGCCATAGCTAAAAAAAAATGCTGACGGTATCGTCAGTTTGGGGCAGGTAGGTGATTCAGTAAATAATGGGCCCAGAGTCAGGATGATTCATCTTCCTGAGTGGAAATCTGGTCTCAGACACTTACTAGCTGTGTGATCCGATCCAATGCAAGTCACTTAACCTTGTCTGCATCAGTTTCTCATCTGTAAAATGAACTAGCGAAGGAAATGGCAAACAACTCCAGTATCTTTGTTGAGAAAATCCCAAGTGAGGTGATAAAGAGTTGTACATAACTAGAAAACAACTGAACAAAACAGTTAGAGAACCTAAATTCAGATTCCTACCTCTGAAACTGACTAGCTATTTGACCTTGAGCAAGCATGCAACCTGGATGACTCCATTTTCACATCTGTAAAATAAGAGATTAGAGCAAATGATCTATTAGACCTCTTATAGCTCTCAATTCTATGAATGTAAAAGAATACTAATAACTTTAATTCATATTCTTTAAATGTGTTTCACAGGGCAGTACATCCCAATATGTGATCAAGATGGTTACTATAAACCAACTCAGTGTCATGGCAGTTCTGGACAGTGCTGGTGCGTTGACAGATATGGTAATGAGGTAACAGGATCTAGAACAAATGGTCCAGCAGCAGACTGTGGTAAGCAGATGTACATTGTAGTTATCCATTGTGCATAAATGAAGACCATTGCAAATAAGACTTAGGAAAGAAAGAACATCCTGAATAGGTAATAAATGAAATAGAATTCCACCAAATGATGCCATCCTAGTTTTCCAGGCTTTTAACACATTATTCTCTTCCATGCTTCCCATGATCCTGCTATACTGGATCCTACTCTTAGAAAACCTGATGAGCTCAAGTGCCACCTCCTACAGGAGGACTTTTCTGATCTCCTCAGCAACCAATGGAAGGCTACTTTCCATTGATTCATCATTTATCTTGTATATGCTCATATCCGTATGTTTGATGACTTCATCACACTGTAAGATCCTTAAGAACAGAGTTGATTTTTGTGTTTTCATTGTATCCCCAATGCTTAGCAAAACACCTAGTACATAACAAGCAGATGATGATAATAATGGTGATGATGATGATGATGATGATAAAAGGTATTATTGTAACAAAACAATGGCAACTATTGTAAAGCATTATAAAAATGTTGCTTTGGAAATATTATTTACAAACAAGTGCTTAATTCTTGAGTTATTGAAATCAGTTTGATAATGTATGAAGAATTTACAAACATTTGTCAAATGTCCATTGTGTGAAAACCATGATTGTAAGTATACAGGGATCTACAAATATTGAAAATGAAGCATTTTTGCTTCAAGAAGCTTATATTCTAATAGGCAATGAAATGAGCTAATATATGTAAAGTGTTTCTAATCCTTTAAGTGTTTCTTAAATGACTACTAGCTTTTATTATTAATAAGGGTAATTGAATTTTCCCACACATAAGTAAGGGCAAGAAGACCCAGGTGCTTCTAGGACAAGTTGAGAGAGAGGTTAATTTCAACTTGAAAGTTCAGGCTTCCTAGAGGAAACAGAGAAGGATTTCAATAGGATGAGACAAGAAAAGAGTACTTTCTAAGCTTGGGGTATAGCTTGTGTGAACATATTGAAGGTTGAAGATGAAATTGAAGGGAGGAATATAGAGTTCATCAAGAGGAATTGTATGACATGATTGGAAAGGTAGGTTGGTGACACTGTAGAAGAGATTAAAAGTATTTGTTTTACATTTAATGCTAATGGAAAGATCATGGGATCACAAATTAAAAGCTAGAAGGTACCTCAGAGTTCACGTAGTTTGACAAACCCCCTTACAACTTTACAGATGAGGAAATGGAGGTTCAGCTCAGATTAATGAATAAATGAAAAAAGTATGCATTAAGCAGTTACTACGTGATTTATAAAAGGCTAAACTGAGATGACCCATAGTCCTTGATTCAAAATGCTGCTCTCTTTCCATTTCCTTTTTGATCTTATGGTAAATGACAAAGGTTCTGAACTCAAATCATCTGACTCCAAGCCTTTTGGTCTACTACACTGACTATCCAATAAGTATTTGCCACTCCAGATGAATAAAGAGAGGCCTAGAGAGGAAGGTAAAGGGAATAACTACAAGTTACACAGGTAAAAAGCAACAGTTAGGATTTGAATTTTTATCCAGTTATTCCCATTGCACTATGTTTCCTTCTTATATAATGAATATACTTGAACAGGGAAATTACAGCACACTACAGAAATATTTTAAGAAAGTTACTGAACATCAATTTCATCTTACAACCTCACAGATATAGATTGGTTCTGACCCCTACAAGATGATGACCAAAGGCCATTATAGTTTCCATGAACCCTTGATAGCTTTGCACTTTGGAAAATATGAAATAGCACATCATACAGGAAATGTAAATGTCTCCCATTCCTCTTAAATCCAAAGGGCTTAGTCTATGTGCTAATGGGCTTGGTCAGTAAAGTGAAAGACAAGGCAAAGCCAAGCTAACAGAGTAAAAGCAGTGACTAGCTTAAGCTCTCCCACAAACCCCTCCAAATACCTGTAACAAATGACTCTAAACAAATTGTAGAGCAGTAGAACCCATAAAAAGACAGAGTGAAACAAATTTCCAGCCCAAGAAAGTCTGCAATATTGACAGAAAAGGTCTGTTGTGCTCAGCTGGGAGAGAAGCGCAGTTCAGCATGGACCATGCTGGCAAAGATGGGGCCCAGCAAACCCAGAGCAGGCCTCAGGGGACTTAATCAAGGGGAGCTGTGGTGGTTTCCAGAATTCTCAACCCATAAATGCCAAAGAAAGTCAGTGGGAAAGATCTGTCAGACTTGAGTGAGGGGAGTGTGGTCCAGCCCTGGCCCCAGCGCAGCCCCAGGTGGCATCTCAGTGAGAGCAGTTGCTTCTGGAGCTCTCAGCCAACAGAGGGTAGGGGGACTGAGTGGCTGATCAGAAGGGGATTGCAGTAGGGATCTCTTGGTGCTGAGGTAGGATTATCTTGCTTTGCCTGTGCTTCAGTCTGGGTCACAGTCCTTGGTGGCACTTCTAGGGCAAGGAGGAGTGCTGACACATCAGAACTTGTGGAAGCAGTGGAGGGGAAATCCCCTTCATAGTTCCAATGCAGAAAAGAGTGCTTGTGGTCACTCAAAGACCAGAGCATGGACCGGGATAAGAATAAACAACTCTGATTTGATCGCACCACCTTGGAAGAACTGAAAATTTACATGTCCCTAAAAGTATTACTGAAAACAGTTGCAAAAACTCCTGAAGCTTTCAACCATACACCCTCCATGCTGGAGGCAGAGCCCTACCTTAAAAAAAAAACAGTTTAAAAGTCAAATAATTGGATGGGAACACGAGCTAACAGCACAAAACATCAGACCATAGAATCTTACTTTAGTGACAAAGATCAAAACATACAACCAGAAGAAGATAAGGAAGTCAAAGCTCCCACTTCCAAAGCCTCCAAGAAAAATATGAATGAGTTCCAGGCCATGGAAGAGCTTAAAAAGGATTTGGAGAAGCAAGTAAGAGAAGTAGAGGAAAAATTGGGAAGAGAAGTGAGAGTGATGCAAGAAAATCATGAAAAACAAATCAACAGCTTGCTAAAGGAGACACACACACACACACACACACACACACACACACACAAAACACTGAAGAAAATAACACCTTAAAAATAGATTAACCCAAAAGACAAAAGAGGTCCAAAAAGTCAATCAGGAAAAGAAGGCCTAAAAAGAAGAATTGGCCAAATGGAAAGGAGGTCCAAAATTCACTGAAGAAAATAATTCCTTAAAAATTAGAATGGAGCAAATGAATGCTAATGACTCTTTGAGAAATCAGGAAATTATAAAACAAAACAAAAAAGAATTGAAAAAAATGGAATACAATGTGAAATATCTCATTGGAAAAACAAGTGACCTAGAAGTTAGATCCAGGAGAAATAACTTAGAAATTATTGGAGTACCTGAAAGCCATGATCAAAAAAGAGCCTAGACATCATCTTTCAAGAAATTATCAAGGAAAGCTGCCCTGATATTCTAGAACCAGATAGTAAAGTAGAAATGGAAAGAATCCACCTATCACTCCTGAAAGAGATCCCCAAAGGAAAACCCTTAGGAATATTATAGTCAAATTCCAGAGTTCCCAGGTCAAGGAGAAAATATTGCAAGCTTCCAGAAAGAAGTATTGTGGAAACACAATCAAGGTAACACAAGATTTAGCAGCTTATACCTGAAGGGATCAAAGTGTTTGGAATATAATATTCCAGAGATCAAGGCAGCTAGGATTAAAACCAGGACTCACTTTCCCAGCAAAACTGAATATAATCTTTCAGGGGAAAAATGGATATTCAATGAAATAGAGGACTTTCATGTATTCTTAATGAAAAGACCAGAGGTGAATAGAAAATTTGACATTTAAATACAAGACTCAATAGAAGCATGAAAAGGTAAACAGGAAAGAAAAATTTACATAAGAGATTTATTAAAGTTTAACTGTTTGCATTCTTACATGGAAAGATAATATTTGTAACTCATGAGACTTTTCTCAGTATTAGGGTAGTTGGAGGGAATACATACTATATAGAGGGCACAGGGTGAGTTGAATATGAAGGGATGATATCTAACAAACACACTTAAGAGGTGAGAGAGGATTGTACTGGAAGAAGGAGAAAGGGAGAGGTAGAATGGGCTAAATTTTCTCACACAAAAGGGGTAAGAAAAAGCCATTATAGTGGAAGGGAAGAAGGGGAAAGTGAGAGGGAATGAGTGAATCTTACTTTCATTGGATTTGTCTTGAGGAGAAAACAACATACACCGTTGGGTATGGAAATCTATCTGACCCTGCAAGAAAATAGGGAGGAAGTGGATAAGGTGGAGGGTGGAGATGGTAGAAGGGAGGGCAGATTGGCAGACAGGGTAATCAGAAGCAAACACTTTTGAGGAGGGACAGGGTCAAAAGACAGAATAGAATAAATGGGGGAGCAGGATAGGATGGACAGAATTATAGTTAGTATTTCACAACATTGCTATTATGGAAGTGTTTTGCTTGACTACACATGTATAATCTATATCAAATTGCTTGCCTTCTCAATGAGGGTGGGTAGGGAGGGAGGAAGGGAGCTAATTTGGAATTCAAAGTTTTAAAAATGAATGTTAAAAGTTGTTTTTTTGTGAAACTGGGAAATAAGATATAAGGCAATGGGGTATAGAAATCTGTCTTGCCCTACAGGAAAATACAAAAGGAAGGGGATAACAGAAGTTAGGAAGGTGATATAAGGGAGGGTAGATTAATGGAAGGGGTATTCATAACATATGCCATCTTGGGGTGGGGGGAGGGGAGAGGTGGGGAGAAAATTTGGAACTCAAAATCTTGTGGAACTGAATGTTGAAAACTATAAATAAATTAATTTATAAAAAAGAAATGTGAAAGATAAAAAAAAACACCTTGAAAAGAATTACTGCTGAAATAAACACATGCAAGGACAAGTACTTTTATGAGAAAAAGATATGTAAGAAAAGCAGATTTAATATTTTAAATTATATTATATTGATACTGTTTAGATGTATTTCCATAAATGAAACATTTTTTTGGGAAAGAGATGATAAATTTGTACCTAAACATAGTATATTGTGTTATGAAACTGCTCCTAAGTTTTCAAAGGCTGGGAGGCAAGAGTACTGGTCCTAAGAATTCCTAGCAAGCTGAAAGTTCTTAAAGAACAAGCCAAGTGACAGACTCTATTTCTGTGATTGAAGGATCAACAGCTGCCTCTGGTACTAGGTACATGGGGAAGGTCACCTACCAGTGCCCCCAGGTATTTTTCTTACACTATAAATTCCTGAGACAGTGCTGATCTTCATTGGTAGTAAAGATTCCTTTCCTGGAAGCTTTCTAAAACAATGGAATCACAGCTCTGGTTTAAAAACAAAAACAGGTTAAGTTCCAATATACAATATTTTCAAAATTCTATAGTCCACAACAAATTAATGAATTTCTTTATATAATGTCAGTACATGAAAGCGTCCTATGAAGGTGTTAATATATTGGAATCCATGTCAATGGAAGGAGTCTTCACAGGGATTAAATCACAAGTCTTTAATGTTCTGCATTCTAATTACAAATAAAGATCTTAGTATTTTTATTCATTTTGACCTATATAGCATTTTGTGAAAACCTTAGTTTTAGGTTAGTTTATTTTGTGGATTGAGGAAAGTTTTTTTTTTTTTTTTTTTTTAGAATTACACATATGTGTGTGTGTGTGTGTGTGTGTGAGAGAGAGAGAGAGAGAGAGAGAGAGAGAGTTTTAATGTTCATGGGAACATTAGGACATAGGGATCTAAGTGTTCTTATCTTATATAAGCTACTTAACATAGGGGTTCCTTCAAAGGAACTTCTTTTTCTTTTTTTAGATTACTGGTAACAATTTATCATCACCACCATCATCATTCTCACTATTCAGTAGAAAGAACACTAAATTTATATCCTTAGAAATGGAGCCAAGTTCTGCCTGCATTACTTATTAGCTGTGTGATCTTAGGCAAACTATTTTCACTGAGATTCAATTCTATCAAATGGGGAAAATGATTCCTACACTACCTGTTTCACAAGGTTGTAATGAGGCTTAGAGAAAATAATGTATCTAAAGAAAATGCTAAGTTTGAAAAGTATATATTATTATTGTTATTCATAAACTCTCCCTCCCTCTATTTGGTATGGGAGAAGAGGAAAGAGTAATTCATTTTTTCTTTTCAAGATTAACAGATACACTTTTCCTGTTCCATTTTGTCTATAACTATTTATATATTTTTTTTACCATTTAAACCAATTTGGATTTTATTATTTTCACTGAATTTATAGAACTATTTTAAATAGAATAAAGACACACTTTATTACTAATTCATCTGGAGATATTTTCTATAATACATGGCTTCTACTATCTTTTAAATTAGTGTTGCTATAATTACAGAAGTTGTGCCAGAAATGGATTAAAAAAAGTTGAAATGTCTCTATTGTATATAGCACATACTTCATAAGGTCATTGTGACATGAACCAATGCTGTTTGAGGAGCTTCCTGAAAACTGCAAACTATCATACAATTTTAAATGACAGCTGTTTAATGTCTTGATTTCCATCCTGAAATTATCGGTTGATTTAAATAGAGTCAATGTCATCCTACCAAATGATAGAATCAAGTGGACTTGTTTTTTTTAATTTTAATATAATTCTGTTCATTACTTTCATGATGTTGAATTTTCTGTGAATCTCTGGTATAAATCCACCTTAGTCATGTTGAATACTTGTTTAGATATTATTTCCTCAGTTGATCATGCTATTTTTTTTCAGTTATTGACTTAGAGACATCAGGAGATTTTGCCAGTGGAGATTTTCATGAATGGACAGATGATGAGGATGATGAAGATGATATGATAAATGATGAAGATGAAATTGAAGATGATGATGAGGATGAAGGGGATGATGATGATGATGATGATGATGATGATGATCATGATGGATATATTTGAAAATATCCATGGTCAATGAATTCTACTTTTCTAAAATTCACATGGTGATATTCCATTGAAAATTGCTCTGTTTCTTGAGATCAAAATGATTCTAAACTACATGTATATTTTGTATAATTATTTCAAATATTGCAGTTGGAGTCATAGACTTCATTTGTTTAAATAAGAATTATTTATAGGCTTTTGAGTTTTTATATGCCTCTGAGCAGAAGAAAACACATTGGAAGTCTAGCAAGAAGTAAGATATGATGTACTATTAAAAGAAAAAAAATATGCAAATCTTCATAAGGATAACCAAACTTTTTTTAAAAAGCTTTCCAAAAAGATTATTTGTCATAGTTTAGAACTGCATGTTGCCTCTTCAGAGATGTTCTGTTATGGGTTAAAGTAATTTTTACTTAACAATGGCTAGGCCCAGGGATTTTCCCCCTAATTATGTAGGACCTGATGATCAGCAATTATAGTGAAAATTGCCATGCCAAACTAGTGTCTCATAAACTAAAAGTAAGTCAAGGATGTGGAGGCAAGGTGGATTCTGTAGAGGAAAGCAACAGAGAGACTTGTAAAATCCTCCTTTGTGTTTACTCTCATTTTGGTTTTTAGTTGTGAAATGATCCTGGCTTAGCCAGGAGGTTGGACAAAAGCAGTAACATGGGATCTCATTGTGTTCCATCAAAATTAAAGTTTTGTGTGCTCTTTTTTATCCCACGTTAATGCCAATCTCATGTAGACTTATAATTTCCTCAGATAGCATGATCACTTCCCTTTCCCTGGTTTTCTTGAGCTCTCTAACCAGCAATTTAGCATAAGGAATTGGGCATAGGAAGACATAGTCAAAGATGCATTAAAAAATACCCTTCACATGGAATGGCATTTGTCCAAAAGCCAACTTTAAGCTGTTTTTTTTTCATCTTCAAGGAGAAAATTGCATTTTTGACTTAAAGTTCTGTCACTTTCAGTTGGTAGTAAAGAAATTAGAGAACATATTGTTTTAAGGTGCTTTGCAAACTAGAAATAGAAAGATTTTTTTTAGCACACATATCAATTTATGATTAGGCAATTGCTAAGCACACCCAGTTACCAAATTAATGCCAGTATAGGTACTGCTGTTGGAATAAAGAAAATGGGTTCATTTTCTTTTTTCTTTTTATCATGTAATTACCATGTGGACTAGATTATGATTCTCATGTAGAATAGCATTTAATAGTTATCTGTAGAGAAAATTACTTCAATCACTGTATTTATGTTAGCATGTTAATTAATTGTGTAGATATTTTGGAAATCCACCACCTTCATTCACAACTGACCTGTGGCTTTGTGCCCATGACCAAATTGGAGCTACCTGTTTAACATTACGTGACTGGTAATTTAATTTCAACAGTCAATCACAGGTTTCCCTAGTTTTCATCTGCAGTCAGTTCAAAGGAAAATCTGTTAATTTGTTTTTGCGTTGGAATTATTTACATAATGACAAACTTCAATGTTTCCCTTATGTAATATTAACAGTACAAGACATTTTCCTTTTTTAGTGTTTATGCATAGTTTGCAAAATAAAATCTCTTGTAACCAAATTAAATTGCTCAATGATTTTATGTGAACAAAGCTATTATATCCTCAACAGCAAGATATTTTTCTTTAAAGTTATTTCAAAAAATTTCTAACATATTTTTTAAAATGACAATTTAGATATGTAAACCTTCTCTGGATCTTCAGTGCAGTTTAAGAGGAGAAATCTTTACCTTTAGGCCAATGCTTTTTATAGAGATATTTGAAATTGTTTGCACTTGTTAATATTTAATTAGAATAAAATTGCATAATATAACTTTTTTCCCCGTGAACATAACTGTTGTACAAAAGGATGAAGCATGCTATTTCTAAAGCCAATTAAATATAGTCAATTTTTAAACATACCTATCTTGGATGAATTTATTCAGCAACAGGTTTTTTGTGGGTGGAAAAATTACTTTATAAAATTGATTTTGAAGAAGTTGGAAAACATAGTTGCTAGGTACTTGGTATTAATGGTTGATGATGACAGGGGACTACCAACATGAAAGTATCAGAAGTGAATATAAACTACAAAACTCAAGTATTACAAAATTAAAAAAAAAATTCCAACATTAAATGATATCATAAAGGAAATCAAATTCTAAGGCAATATTCAGAAGACTTTAGCAATTCCATTTATTTTGGCAAGAGGATGAATTATATTAAAGTATAAACAGAAAGTATTATTGAGTTGTACAAATTATCACAGTTTTAGTCCAAGAGTGACTTGGAGAGAGACTTTAGAAAGAGGCATTCTATCATGACTTAGGTTAGTGTTTGAGAAAGAGCATGGCAGAAAGGAGAGAGAGCTAGACCTATACTCAAGTGGACATTTTAGCTGTGTAATCTTGAGCAAATCACTTAGCCCCTAAGTGCCCCAGGCATTTGTATCTCTAAAGACCATAAATTAAAGACCTTTGTGTATTGTGCATTAGGCCACCTGGAATTCCCTGTACAAATAAAATTATAGGTCTAGACCAGACTGCATCTAGAGGCAGGTAGGAAGCAAAATGAATAGAGTGCTGGTCCTGGAGTCAGGAAAAAGACTAAGTTCAAATCCAGCCCCAGACACTCACTACTTGTGTAACCTTTGCCAAGTCACTTAACCGCTATCAACTTCTTCTACTACAAATGGGGATAATAATAGCTTCTACCTCATAGGGTTGTCTGGCACTGAGTAATCACTATGCACATGCTATCTAAAATATTTTACATTATATAATATATGATTATATTACAAATAATTATATAATCGTAGAAGCAATATAATTATTATATGATAACTACTTCTTACTCTTTCATATGTTCCTATTGATCATCATCAAAATAAATTTGAACCTCTTATCTGCCTCTACAAATTCTATGAAATCCTAAGAATTGCTGCTAATGAACTAGGCATATATAGATCCATGTAGCTTATGGACATTTAGGTATAGGAAATTGTGACATTGATGATGTTAGGAAAACAGAAAAAAAATTGAGCATATAGTATATAACACTTCCATACTTTTAGTAAAGTAAACTTTTCTCATACCCAAAAGTGAAAACCAAACCAAAACCAAAAGAGAGAATAACAATTTTATAGATTAAGCACAGATCTTATAACCATGGATTTAGAAATGGAAAGGATCAGAGAGGACATTTGATTAAAAATTCTCATTTCAATGATGAAGAAACTGAAAAAGTAAGTGATCAGCCCAGGACTGGTATTTGAACATAGTTCTTTTGAGTTTGAATGCAATATTCTTTCATCTACAATGAATGGACCTGTTTATTTTGGCAATAATAAGAATAACCACTTGAAAACTAGTAGATCATGTTGGAGATGTTTCTTGAAAAATATTAAGTATTTCCTGATAAGATTAAAAATCAAGTATGGAAATTTATGATTGTTAAATATTATGCATATTTATTATGAAAAGTTGTCTATGCTGCATAATTCTGAGACAGAGGCATGTCTAAAGACATGACAAAAACAGCTTAAAACATCCTTGGTCTCACCAAAATAGGACCACCCTGACTTTTAGCTCTTGTTTTGGATTGATTTTTTTTATTTTATAATTCATCCACAGTGGCACTACATCAACAGCTAAGAAGTAGAGTGGAAAAAAACACTGAACTTAGTCATTGAACCTGAGTTTGAAAAATAGCTAACATTCAAATAGTACCTACTATGTGTCAGGAACTGGGGCTAAACTCTTTGTAATAATTACCTCATTTGATTTTCAGAATAATTTTGGGATGTAAGTGCAATTATTATACACGTTTTAAAGACGAAGAAACTGAGGCAAACCAAGCATAAGTGACTTAACCAGTGTCACATGGCTAGTAAGTGTCTGAAACCGAATTTGAATTCAAGGCTTCCTGACTCCCAGACTGTAGTCTATCCATTGTACCACATAGCTACTTCACAGCAGAATCCCAGATCTCTCATCTGTGTGACTCCGCTTAGGTCACTTAATCTCTAAGATTAAAAGTTAAACTTCCTTATTTACCAAATGATAAGGTTTGATTAGACCATTTCTAAGGTTCCTTCTAGCTCTATCCTAAGAGATTCTTTAGATGAGGGACTACCTTTTACCTTTCTTTTTACCCCTAGCACTTAAACACAGTGTGTGGCACAGAGGAGGTGCTTAGTAAATGCTTGCTGACTGAATAATATGATAAAAATAAGAACAATAAATGAAATTTATATAGTTAATGATTTCCTCACATTAACCTAATGAAATAATAAGCTGACTATTATGAACCTTATTTACAAATGAGGAAAAAGACTCAGAGAAGCCAAGTGGTTTGTTTACTTGGTAACACATATAGTCAGTGTTGGAGTCTAATTTCCAAACCATATCATCTGACTCAGCCCAATGTCTTTCCACTGTGCCATCCAGTTTCAAAGGAGCCTCACTGCAAGGCCTAGATGAATGCTGGATACAGTTAAGTCACAAAGGCTTGATTTGGAGAGCTGTCGGCAGGTAAAGGGTGGGAAAAGGGAAGGAAAAAATATTAAGTATTTCCTGATAAAACAAAAATCAAGTATGAAAATTTATGATTGTTTTATATTATGCATATTTATTATGAAAAGTTGGCTATGCTGCATAATTCTGAGGCAGAGGCATGGCTAGAGAAATGACAAAAACAACTTAAAACCAGATTTCAATGAGTGAGCAAAAGTGCATATAACCTAAAGTTAATCCTTTAATTAAACAAATAATGTTGTGGAAGAAAATGTACCAGGGAAGAACTATGAAGACTTTAACCTTAACTTCTTACTTTTAAATGTACAGTATCTAGTCAGAGTAAATTATTTTATTTTTAGAAATTAAATATAATGTATTTTTAATTAATAAATAATAGCTAGATCACACAGTGGATAAAGTACTGGGCTTGGAGTCAAGAAGAAAGTTCCAATCCAGCCTAAGAAACATAGCTACATGACCTTCAGCAAGTCCCTT